AGTATATGAATAGCATCATATCGAAATTATTTTGACGTAGATTCCGAAAATCAAATTGGTGGAACTGAAAATTGAGCTGAAAAAGTAATCAACATCTAATAATACCCTTATAGTATAGCTTTATTAGCTATGAAATGGATTTTTTGGTATGATTAAATCTTCTTCGGATGAAATGAAGACAGTAGGCTATAACAATAATATTTTTTCAATAAAATTATTTATGTTATAATTTAAAATAAGAAGCAACCTTAATACAGCAATTTAATTCCCCACCCATATTGCTAAATAATAGCTAAGTAATTGTATATATAACTTTACGCTAGTTGAATATTAATAAAATATAATAAGAATGTTAAAAAAACACATTTTATAAAAGCTCACCGCAAGCAAACATGTAATAATCATCTTAAGCATTTTAATATATACTATGGAAATTAAGGTGTGGTACTCACTAAATAAAGTAAATCAGCGTAATTAAAATTTAATTGCAACTTATTTAGCAAGCAAATTATTACTTTATTTTGTAAACGATTTTATTACTTATTTAAATTATCCCTTAAAATTATTGTATTTAATGATGACTCACAAATAAATGCTATATTTAGTGATTGAGAGAAATATGTTATAAATTAATTTAAATTGCAACTACTACATTGCGAATACTAAATTACGAGTACTAATTGCCGAATTAAAAAAATGCCGCAATTACCAAATGAACCGTCGTATTCGCTTAGAAGTCAGGATTACATTTATACGAACAAAATAGGTTTTCCGACATATTGAATTTTTCCTAAAATAATATTGATGCTTTGTCGGTCCCCGTAAAAAGTATCAAAGGACCGAACGATGACGATCTCTCCTTTAGAATATATTTTCAAATAAATATTATTTCATCCAATAATTTCAACTTTATTCTAATATAAATTATGGAACCTATAATATTCTGAAATTTTTTTTTTAAATTCTAACCATTTCAGTCTTATAAATTTATCATTATTATAGGTTCATTTAACTTTTAAATAATATTAATTTAACATGTGCTGTATAAATATTTTTCACATTTAAAATTACATAATATATATAGAGTTATAATACAAATCCTTATACTCGTACTTACTCTAGCAATAAAAATAAAAAATTGTATAAATTTATTCAATAAATTTATAATTTACTTGTTACAAAATGCAGATTTCAATAAAAAACAAAATTAAAACGCCAAATAATTTGAATGCACGCATAATTTATTACACACAACACATATATAATGGGGATATTGTGCGGGTCAGTGTGTATTTGTCCTTAATTTATTATGAAGGATAAATATTTTTTATTATATAAATTAATACACACATTTGGATACATATATATAATATATATATATTGCGGAAATATTTATACTTAATACGATTTCAATCCGATCATGTTTTGTATATATGCATATTATATATAAGTGGTATATATTAAACAGTTTTAATATAAATCTTCCTTTAGTAAAATTATTTACTTATTTATTATGTAATATATTATTACACTTATGCAATATATGAATTATGTAAATGTAGGTACAATTATGTATAACATTATTTACAAACAAAGTCATGTGTATGTGCATGATATATGTAGTATATGAATTTTATTTCATTATAAAATTTTTACATAATTTTTTTTTTCGATTACATTGTAGCTATGCTCTACATTTTATCACAAAGTCACTAATTAAACAGTAGGTATACCTTTATATAGGTACATATTTTTATTATTTACATGTATTTATATTAACATAGTATGTATGTTAGTAGAATATGTATATGAATCTCTATAAACATACATACAGAAAAATCCTCTCAATTCTCTTTTTAAACCTATTACTGAACTCGAAACGAAACTAAAATATAAGGTGTTAAAATTTCATATAGGTTTTTTTTTCAGTGTAAAATCTATGCAGAGTGAACCTGTAACGTGGTATAATATCTAGGGGGCTGAAAGATGGGACGATTATGTTATAATATTCAAACCCATTGAAAATTTTGATGTCGACAAAAATTTTGATGTCTATCGACCTAAATGGGTATTTTGTTTTGTGCCAAATGGGTTCCGAGATAATTTGGTTGTAAATCTATACTTGCAATTCTGTATGATGCCGGTATAGATATCCTATAATTCTTTAAAAATTTAAATATTCTCGCACAAAATTTTTTTAAGAGAAACAATCTTTAAAACTCAAAGTAAAACTGAAACTTTCGATTTAATGAACATCTCGTTTTTGTTATATAATAATTATATAATTCCGTTCACAATGCATAATGAAGAAGTTTGTTGATTTCCCAAGAATGCAAAATAAATGGTGTACTTTCATTGTAATAATAAGCACCTATGCCATACCTATTTTCAAACTTATTAGTCATATACCCAAATTTATTTATCCTAAATTTCTTTTAATTAAGTTTTTATAAAAAAAAAGCTCCCATACCCCTCGAATAAGGTTTCTTACAAAATTTCAAGCGGTTACATATTGGACGGTCTTCTTACTTACCGCTTTAGATGCATCTGTTTTTAATTATACATCTAAATTTTTCATAATTATTATCGAGACTTCACTGTTATTAATCCATATTTTAATATAATATTATAACGCACATAATAATTCAAAAAGTTAAAGTACAAAATCTGTAGACTTTAATTTAAATGACAATATATGCAACATTAAGTACCTACATTATGTATACGCATATATTTTAAATACTATATTATAATAATGATGAACTACAATTGAGTTCGTAATTTATGAATATATCTACATACGCACATCCAGGCAAGCTTAACATGATTTACATTACAGCATATATATGTATACACTTGAAACTATATATATACAGTATTTTTAATGAACATCAGGGAAAAAATATTAAGTAAATGTAATGAGGACAATTACGATAAATTTAATGTAACAATAATAGCTATGCTACTATAAATATATAATATATATATATATATATATACAAACATAATAATAATTAAATATATTACTTCATTTATATACGAGTAAAATAAAGATTTATAGTGACTCCTATTTAAATGTTTATACATAAGTATGTGTGCATTACAGTATTGTACATTTATGATGGATGTGTAAATCGTATAATAAAAAAAATGCGTATATAATGCGAATAATTATACATATATAACATATACAAATACAAAAGTAATTTACTGCATATTCAAGTGCATAATTTAAAAGTGTAAATAAATTTACAAGATGTTGGATTGCTTTCACAAAAGCAAAAGTATACCATATATTTTATAATATTATTTATTTATAAATATGCTTAATACGAGTACTTCAATTTTAAACTCATTTACCATAATGACTCTATATTTTTTAACTCTTGGTTTCTATACTATATATACCATATATATATACTTTGCACAACATGAAACTTTTAGTGCATATACCGTTTATTTAACTTAAAATGTCGTTATATAGGGTGGTTCCTTTAATGACAAATTATCATGTACTAGTATATAAATTTTCATTAGTAAGAGAACTATTTCACAATAGGACTCTATCGTAAACGGTTTCGGAGACAGGGGCTCTTTAAGGAATAAAAAAATTTTTTTTGGCCATTGAAAGTAGATTACTTACTGTGACCGTATTACGTATAATGGTTCTCTTAGACATGTGTTAAAAATGTGAAACAATTGGCTACCGGATTCAAAATTTTTCAAAATTAAGAAAGTCTGACTTACCACCTTTAGTTTTATTAATTACATTTTTCATGTGCCTTTTATGATTCGTGAAATAAATGCGAATGAATTCTTGAAAATTAATTGGTTCAACAAAAAAATTTTAGTCAAAAATATTTTTCAACATTTTTTTTAATTTAGGGTCTTTTAGTATAGACAACACCCTGTATATACATATTCTTACATAAGTTGTTTATACATATTCTATTCTGACAATTGAAATCTGGCTGTTAAAGTACAACGTTCTATTCTGATAGATAAATTTAATTAAATAAATTTAATTATTCTGTACAAAAGTTGACATATATTATGTATGTATGTATTATGTCGAACAACTGATTAGAACAATAAAATTTCACTTTAAATTGATTGTAAGAGTCATGTGAGGAAAATGGTAACTGTGAAATACAAACAACTGCCTTCCTCCAAATTCGAAACTTGTCGTCCATCTATAAAGATGTAACAATTACTATAGAATACCAAAACGACCCAAAATTTACAGGTCAAAATTGAAGAACAAGAAAATAAGACAACTTTTAAAGGCAAATTTATTTTTATCTTGGCTTTCTTGCCATAAATATAAAAAAATTTGTGAAGAAGCAGAAATTGATTTTAAAAAATTTTGATCTATTATTGCAAAATTTTACGCCAAGGTCTCACCTTTAAAGTGATCTTGCAAGTGTGTCTTACATTAAAAATGTTAAAAGTACAAAATTATTTTGGGTTTGAACCTGAGTTTTTATCAACACTTGAACTCTACCTTTGATATTCAGACTATTTATACCTAATATGTTTTTAGGAAAGTGTGCAAATTTTTTATTAAATTATAATGTCAAAAAATTTATTAATATATTTTTTTCTTTTTCCATATATTTTCAGATTTTCAACAATAAACAACATAATAACAATAATTAATTCAGGAAGAGTAGATCCTTTTAGAAGAATAAGGAATATATTTTTGTTAAATTTTTTATTTCTCCATTTTTTTGTAATTTTACGAACAATATAAATGTGCTGTGACCAAAAATCTAGTCTAACATTATATAATTAAAATTAAAAGCATTAAAGCATTTAGAAAAAAAAAAACAATTAATTTAAATTTAATTAGTAAATTGAAAATAACAAAATTTCTTTATTAAATTATTAATAGAAAAAAGGTTTTAGTAAAAAAATTAAAAAAATTTTACGAAATTATAAAAAATTGTGTTTTATTTTTTTTTTTTAATTTTCTTATTATTTTTTTTTAATAAGAAAATGTGTTCTAAAGAAACGTTAATTATAGAATTTCATAATAGAAATTTATAATTTAAATAAAGAAAAAAAAAATTATTTGAAAATTTTTAATAAATTTCAAAATATAGAAAATTTAATAGAAAATATTAATATAAAAAATAATAACAGTAGAAGTGGTTTTTAATTAAAATCAATTTAATAAAAAAAAAAAATTAATAAAAAATAATAAATATGTTTCATAAAATTAAAATAAAATTTTTAATATTCTTAGTTGTTCATTGTTGTACAATTATAATTAATGCTGGTAAGTTTATTAATTCAGAAAAAAATTATTTTATAATTAAGTAAAATTAAATATTAAAAATTATTTTTATTAAATTGAATTTTAAAAATTTTTGTTACATATACTCGATTGTGAATTGTCATTTATATGATCATTTCATAAATGGCAATTCACAATCAGCCTAATCGTTTATCCCACTTTTTCATTTAACTTTTTATTTACAATTTCCCGTTTTTATAACAGGATATCTCATTTTTTCAATAAAATTACTCATTTTTTGAATTGGATTTATCCACTTTTTCTAAAATTATCAACTGAACGTTTCACCTTCAAGTACATTTTGTATACAATTTTGGAAAAAACGAGATATGCAATACCGAAAAAGTTTTCTTACTCAAAAATTATATTATACGAATATATTATAGTTACTCACTTTCTTCTCAATTGACAAGTAAAATAGCAGGATCAGGCTCTTATAATTAAAAAACTTATAATTTGTAAATGAAAATTAATATTGTGAATGGAATTATTAATAGAGAATATTGAATATTAGGTTTGTCGGGAATAAAACTTGAAAAAAAACTTTAAAAAGAGAAACAATAACGTAATTTCTCGCAACAAGACGAAAAATTCTCATTTAAAAAAGAAAATAAACTAGACGGAAAACCGGAAAAAATCTTTTAAAAACTTTATAAATATGGTATAAATGTCAAATATCAAAGTTGTTATTAAACATTAACAAATATTTTTTGGTTATACCAAACACCGAAAATTTTGATTTTGGATTATAAAAGTGTGAAACTTAGGAAAAACCGTTTTGTGAAGCCATTTTGGTTATTTTATTTTTAATTGAAAAGTTTTGAATAAAAAGTTATTGTTGATGAAAAAAAAATTTTTTTTCAAAAATTACATACTTTCTTATACCAGACAGACCTACTGTATATATACAATAACAAAGAACTTTTATAAAGTATTGTAGTTTAAAATAAATCTCCGAGAATTATTTAAAAAAAAATGTCCAACCTCCTAAGTTCTTTTATAACCAAAAAGATTTTTTTTTTTTTTTTTTTAAATACTTTTTATTTTTGTATTAATTATTTCTTTTCATACAGCTTACCTTAAAAGTACGAAAAAATCAGCTTAGATATATTTACAACATGAAGTTAATTAACTTTAAGACTAACTATCTTATTTTGTTAATAGTGTATCATTTTTTTTTTTGTTTTATTTCATTATGTTTTTAATATTATAATAAAATGATTTCAATATTTTATATATTTGGTAAAAATCAAAGAAAAATCCAAATTTAATTCTTATTTTTGTTAAAATAAAACCCTAAACCTAGACCTACCTAACTTAAACTACGTACTAATCCTAAAAAAAAAAAAAAAAAAATTTTATTAAATCTAAATTCTTATTTTTTTTTTCCTTTTTTTTTTAGTAGGTCCCCTCGAGCCACCAATAATCTCTTCTAATTTCCCTATCTTTTTGTGTCACATACGTATCGAACAATAGGTCGCTTTCCAGGATGTTATTTGGATCGAAATCTATAGTCTTGCATGTAGCCCTCCTACTATAGTGAAATAGTAAGGGGACATGGCTCAGACTTTGTATATATTTGTTTGCATCCAGGTATATAAAAAATTCTGGAGCAATGAATCCTGTTTTCATTGAATATTTAATATAATCCTCGTTGTGATAATAAATATGTGAAATTAAACTGTTCTCATGCATTTTTAATGCTCTGTCGTAGTGATTTCTTATTAGTTTTATACAAAAACTGTCGAACCGTGAGATGTTTGATGCATCGTATATTGTTTTATTAGAGAAATAATGTAAATAATTTGTTTCTGGCTTTCTGATTTTGCCCGTGCAGATTCTGATACACTTCCTTTCAAATTTACGTAATTTCTCCATTAAGCTTGCGCTAATGTTATACCAAACAGGCACTGCGTAAGACATTGTTGGTCTGATCAGGGATTGATATGCAATTATTTTTACTCGCTGGCTAAGGTTTTTATTGTAGAATATTTTTTTTGATGCCATAAAAGCTTGTTGTCCTTTTTGTGCTATGTAATTTATGTGCGTAATGGGACTTAATCGGTGGTGCAACTTATATCCAAGATATTTAACTATTTCTACTTTTTTTAAATTTGTGTTAGTTGGACCCTTTATATTAAATTCCCTCCAATTTTTTCTTATGTTGTGGTTGCAATTTCTGATTGTGTTGCGAAAAAGTATAGTTTCACATTTTCCAAAGTTAATTTTCAGCTTCCATACTTTACAGTAGTCAATCGCTAAATTGAACATTTTTTGCAAACTTGTTTTTATTTTAGGTAATGAATTTGCCGCTGAGTATACAACTACATCGTCCGCAAATGCTATAGAGTAATTTGGCCCCCTAATATTTTCAAAAAGTTGTAGAAGCTCAGCTATGTATAACGAAAATAGTACCGGTGAGTTTATTGTGCCTTGTTGTAAGCCGTTTTTTAATTCGAATGTTTTACTGTATAAATTTTTGCCATAGCTTAATGCGAATTTACCATCAGATATCATGTCACATACTAGTTCTAAGAGATCTATGGGAAAATCCATTTTCTTCAGTTTATATATAAGGCCATTAATCCAAACTTTATTGAAAGCTTTTTCTAAGTCGATAAAACATGCTCCAACTGCATTCTTTTTATTTATTTGCCAACATATATCTGAAACAAGTTTTGTAATCGCGTGAACTGCACTATGTCCAAATCTGAAGCCAAACTGATTATCAGGAATTAATTTCTTTTCAACAACCACTTTATTAATTTTATCATTAATTAAACTTTCGTAGACCTTGCTTATATTTGGTGTTAAGCATATAGGTCTGTAGCTATTTGAGTCTGTAGGATTCTTGTTGGGTTTTTTAACCATTACAACTTTCGATATTTTCCATGACTTTGGAAAGTACGAATAATTAAATGAATTATTGAACAGTATGACATATTGTTTTATTACGTCGTCTGAAAGATTTTTTAGAACGATATTTGGTATTTTGTCGATTCCTGATGACGTTTTATTTCTTAATTTCTTAAACTTGTCTCGTACTATGCTAAATGTTGTGAAAAATTCTTTTTGAGATGGGCTTGAAGCTTTATTTTCAATAGAAAAATTATATTTTGCTTTATTTTCATTTTTTTTTCGAATTGTATTTTCTTTAAAAATTTTAACTTCATGGTCTATTCTTTTTTGAAATCGATTGTTGCTATCGATGTTATTGTGTGTTTCTTCTAGTTTTGCTCCTAGAAAATCGTAGATATTCGAAGGACTCTTAATAATAAAATTGTTTGTTGTTGTTTTTTCTAATATACTAATATCAATTCCTACTTTGTTTAATATGTTGTTGTCGTTATTGCCTATTACAATTTTTTTTACGCTAATTTTCTGTTTAGGTCTGAATAATTTATTTATTTCGGCAAACATATTGTGATTAGACGGCTTTATATTATTTATTCTTTTTTCCCAGTATTGATTCAGTTCAATATTGATTTGTTGTTTTATCAACGTCTTCACGTTTTTTAATAAACTTTTAAGGGTATTCAGTTCGTTTGCTGAGAAGTTTAAATTTCTTTTATAAATTTTGTGAATGTCCTGTAATATTTTAAATTTTACTTTTTGCAGTTTTTTAAGTTTTCTAGATGTAATTTTAGATAAAATATCCCTACATTCTTTTTTTGGTATGGCTTCATTCATGCTCTTTTGAATAATTTTCTCTATTTTTTTATAGTGAAAATCTATTTCTGGTATGAGTAGATTTCTATTTTCAGGAATTAATAATTCATTGGAATACTCTGTGTTGAGATTGTTGTTTAATTTTCTTTTAAAGGAATCCCAATTTACTCTATAATATGCATAAGAATCATAATTGTTTTCGTCATTATTTAAATCATATTCATTTGGAACTTCGATTTTAATATATATGGCTTTGTGGTCCGCATCGTAAGGTATAGTTCTTATTTTGTTAAATTGGTTTGTATCTACTGTTTTTAATCTAACATCTGTGAGAAATAGATCTAAGTACGAATTCGTTCTAGGATATGTAGGGGTATCAGATAAGTGAATTTGGCATTTGTACATAATTGTGTTTCGATTGAGCCAATTATAAAGATTATTACCTCTTTGGTTGTTATATTCATTTAGCCAGGATTTGTGTTTCGCATTTAAATCACCAGCCAATACAAAAAAATTGTTTAAGTCATCGAGTCTTAGTTCCGTGAAAATTTTTTGAAATTCTTCAATGAATTTTTGTTTATTTTTTGTTGAAGCGTAAACAGCGATTATAAAAAGATTCTGATTATTTCTCATTTTAAGGCTTATTACAGTTGTTTCTAAACATCTAAAATTTTGAAAATGTAGATTTTCGATAATTTTAAATCTAATCTTATTTTTTATGCATATTGCAGTTCCACCTCCTCAATTTTCAGAATTTCTGTCGGTTCTTACTAGTAAGTAATCCTTTATAGTGAAATAGTGTTTTTTTTGTAACCATGTTTCGTTAATACACATTATATCTGGTTGATATGTTTGGAGAAAATTTATCAGAGAAAGTCGCCTATTGTAAGATACTAATGACTGGACGTTAGCAGAGATTATTTCTAACATAGTATTATTTGTGTGTGTACTCATTATTGTATATTAAAACCTATTATTTCGAAAAGTTTTCGTATATTAGTAGTATTTTCTTTTGTTTGCTTATCAATTAAGTCTAGTTTATTATTTATTTCTAAAAGTAATTTGTTAGTAATATTAGTATCATTAATACTTAAATCTATTATGTTAGTTGGGTTGTTTTTTGTGTTACCTCTAAGTACACTTGCATAATTTTTACCATGATTTACATAGTTGCTATACATTTGTTGTCGTGTTATTATTTGGTTTTTGATTTTCATTTTTTTTTCTTCTCTTATTTTAATTTTTTTTTGATAGTACGGACAGCTCCTGTATGACGCTGGATGTCCCTTTTGGCCGCATAAGATGCAATATAGATGTTCTTTGCCCTGTTCTGATGTTATTTCACAATTTCCAGGCTGATGACTTTTTCCACATTTGACACATCTGTAGTCCATGTTGCAATTTACTGCAGTGTGATTAAATCTTTGACAACGTGTACATTGTCTAATTACTGGTTTTCTTAAATAATGCCAAGACACAGATTGGTGATCGAGCAGAGTAATTTTTTTTACTTCATTTGTATCGCTTCCAGGTGATAATTGAACTATAAAATATGGAAGTATTTTATTATTCATAATTGAATATTTTGTTGTCAGACGAGTAACTTTTTCAAATTTTATTTTTTCATTTTCTTTTTGCTTTAAATAATACATTACGTCATCTATTGGGTAGTCATGTATTAAACCTTTTAGTACTAATGTTGTTCTTTTTTCTTCTTTTGGTGTGTTTGAGTAGTACCTTGTTTCAGTTATTTTCAGAAAATCTGCAATACGATGATAATCGTCTATGGTGTACGTAATAATTGCGAAATTTGTCTCATTATAAGTTTTTATTGCGAAATCATCAATTTTAAGTTCTTTATTGATCTTCTCTTTTACATATTTGATGTTGGTGTTTGCTATGTGAATTGGTGGCATTTTTTGTTTAATTTTTTTTTTAATATTTTGATTTTCGTTCTCGAAAACTTCTGTTGTTGATTTTGTTGAATTTTTTTCTCTTATTTCTTTTGCTTTTTGTGAATTCATAAGTTTTAATGCTTCTATATAGTCTTCACACTCGTATTCAATATCAGTTGTGTTTGCATTTTCTACTTCATCTTCACTTTCGTCGCTCTCCCTGCAATCCATGGAAAGTATTGAGTAGCGATTGCTTTCTCTCAGTGATGACAATAATTCACCATCGCCAGTACGTGGGCTTTCATTATGATCGACATTATTTAGATTTAGATCATAATTATTTAATTTCTTATTATTGTTTACATTGTTACATGTGCTTTTTTTTATTGTTGTGTTATGATTTTTATTATCGTTATTGTTATTATGATTATTTTTATTGTTATTGTTGTTATTATCATGAACATTTTTATCATTATTTTTTTCATTGTTATTATTTGTGTTGTTATTCTCGTTTTGTTTAGTGAGAGTTGCAACTTGCTTTTCTAATAGTTTTAATTGGCTTTGCAATTTTCGGTTCTCTGTTTTTAATGAGAGTATAACCAAAAAGAATAAACAGTTGAAGCACAAATTATTTTATTAAATTAACTGAAATTTTTAAAAAATTGCATATCATAGGGCGTTCATGAAAACTGTTATATTATAGCATTTAAAAACCATTCCATTGAGAAAAGGAAATTCTCAAATGTCAAAATTTCTTATGTGAATATAATTTTATTGTTGATTCACAATCGATGTTTTTGGCATATTAATAATTTTTTTCATGTATAAATCACTTCTTTACGTCATGAATAACCTTATGTATAAAATATTTCTCCATTTATTCGAAAAATAATTAAAAGCTAAAAATATGGTCTTTGTAAATTCCTTACAATTTTTTGCAAAATTTTTTGACCCACGCATGCATACAATATCTGCCAATTAATTTTATACCCAATTTTATATCCGTCGTTAAAATCAAATTAATTATTTAAGAAAGCTAATTTAGATTTAAAACCAATATGCTAAAATCTGCTTAAAGAAGCCCTCAACAAATATATATTAAAATTCGTTAATATTCAAGTATATTATTTAATAAATAGATTTTATTTACTTTATTATATTTATAACATCAAATAAATTAAAAATGTATTTTTTTTTTTTGAAAAAGCTCCCAAAAATCGTACATGTTATCAATATCCTGAACATTTACCAAAGGATAATCCAGATTTCGATTATGATTATCTTAATGATTCACCATATGGATCAGAAGCAGCATATATTGATGAACCAAGAATAATAACATGTGAAGCTGAATATGATTTTTGTTATTCTGTTTGGAAAACTGATGAAAATGGAACAAAGGTTATAATCCGACAAGGTAAGTACAAATATAGTAAAATAAAAAAGCAATGTTTTTTTTTTCTCTTTCCTTTGTAATATTCGTGTTTTATATAAAAGTATCTGCAGTATATATGTGTTTAATATTTGTATGTTAGTATATCACGTTTATGTCGTGTACATAACATATTTTATATAATATGTATGTATTTAGATAAAGGAATGTAGTACATAAAAATGTACATAAATTTGTAATTTGTATATGAAGTCATACAGTAGCATTCTTTGGAACAATTTTTATCGGCCGTATAACAGAAGTATGGATTGCAATAGCTACAAATTTCACATTTGAAACTTTAATTTACACTTTATTACATATATACCTTAGCTTGTGTTGAAAAAGTATAATAAAAAATATTTTCAACGAAATGTTCCGTACATCTTTTAATTTTTTAGGACGTGTACTCATCTTAAATCATAAAACTTTTTTTAGAACTAATTCTAAATGTTCTTTACTTGTTTATATTCTTCAAAATTCTTAGAAATCTGATATATTCAACTCTGGTTGCCAAAACCAGCAATTTTGCAAATTTTACCTAAAGGACATAATCAGTAGACAAGAAAACTCTTGAAGGTCCAAGCTAAATGAAAAACTTTCAATGGAATTTAGGTTTGTGAATTTGAACGCCTACTAACCAAAGAATTTTCATTTTTGGGAAATCTCAGGCAAAAGTGGTCGATTTTATCCTGATCTCATCAAATTTTTTTTCCTCTTTTTTTTTTTTTTTGGTTATTCATCAAATCAATTTTATGATAGACATATGTTAATTTTTGGCACTGTTATATTCAGATACACAAATACACATACTAGTATGTGTAGGTACATCAAAAGTTTTTGAACAAAAATCTTTTGTTTTTATTATTTGTTTTTAAAATAGGCGTTTATGTTAAAAAATGATAACATTCTCCTATATAAAACAGCATACATACTATGCATACTTTCATAACACCACCGTCCTATATATTAAAATGTTTAATTATCTATGGGAGCGAATGTGTATATATGTGAATTTTTATTTCTTTAATGTTGATTGAAGCGCATAATAATGAAGTTAGTTCAAACCAATGTTTCGAAAAGTAGCACTTTTTCCTAGAAACAATTGAAAATATTTAAATCGATTTACCAAAATGTATAAATTTATTGCATACATTTAGGATTTGGATGGGGGGGTGGGCGTGGTGAATTGAAAGACTTAAGTATTAATCATGATATTTTTTAATGACATGAAATTTGCCGTTAGCTTTTTGTATTTATAGAAGTTTTAAAAAAGTTCGCAGTTCCAAAAATATAAGGCGCCGAAAATTCAAACAAATTCCGAGAATTAACAAACTCCTGGAAGCTATAACTTAAGAAGGAATGGAAATAGAAATTATTAGTGTAATGAAATTTCTTACTCCCACAACGGTTATATAACGGTTACTCCCACAACGATTCTTATAACGGTTAATTCAAACGATCTTTTTGTCATTTTAATGTTTGACTACCCTGTCTCGCGGTAGAAGCCAGTCACTACTTTTCTACGTTTGTAGAATTTATAAAGTGATTTCGACTTAATAACAAATTTGCAAGTCTCAAAAGAATTGTATGTAAGAATTATTTTTAATTTTCATATTATATGCAATGAGTATATATATATAGGAAGGATAATTGGGACAAAATCTTATGATATGAAGAGTAACAAATATTATCTACAAATTATACAAACCACAATATGTAATTAATGTGTAGGTTTCCAATAATAATCAAGAGAAAAATCCACAAAATTAAATACTTTTACTGTTTTTAAATTTCCTCTTAAATAGTCCCCAAAGGACCAAAGAATGTATAATAGCTGAGTTTGGGTTGCAAATTTTAATTATCGATTTAAATTAATTGGTTTGTTTTTTACGAATTCGGGTATACATGGTAATTGTATTTTGTATTTTAATTCTTATATGGTACGTGTTTAATAAAACTGACAAAATTAGTAAAATTTAATTACAATAAAAGAGAGTTTTTTTGTCAGTCCCATATTTCAATTCAATTACACAATTAAAAAAAATTTTAATCGGCAATTAATTTTTGTTTTAATTGCATTTATTGTAAATTACCTATACATTTCAAAAATATATTGTTATTTATTTTTCCAGTTTTCTTATAAATTCAATTTTAAGATGATTTCAAATTGTATAAGCTTTTTGTACCCATATTATTGCCGGCAATAGCCAATTGTCCTGGTAATACTAATTTTACAGCACCATTAATATCACGATGTGTCATTGTTGAACGTTTTGTACGTTTCATTAAATTTTTTGCCTCTAATGATAAAGTTTCAAACATATCAATCATATAATGATTCATAACTTCCATAGCTTTCTTAGAAATTGTCATATCTGGTACAACATCTTTTAATACTCTATAAATATAAATATGAAAATTTGGGTACTCCTGTTGTTGTGCTGAAAATCTCTTAATTTTTCTTCTTCTTATCGATCTATTGTTATTTTTTAATTTGTGTAGGCCAGATGAATTATTTTTTATTCTTTTAATCATCACAGGACTTTTACGATTTTGTGACATATTCAAAGTTTTTTCTTGCAACAAATTTAATTCTTCTGTTTTAATTGGACTAAGTGAATTTTCTAGTGGTTGAAATTGTGATTTTTGAATAGTTGCGCTACAAAAATAATTAAATAAATTAAAATAATCTAAAATAATAAAAAGTACAATTTTTGAAGTGAGTGTACGAAAATGCAACTAAATAATATTAAATCTCCAGTTTAGATTTAATTAACGTGATTTTAAAATTTCGCCTGAACCTTGAACTGACCCGTCGCCATTATTTTAACGAAATTTAGATGAATATCTAACCCCCTTTAACCCATCGGGATTTCTAGTACGAGTACACTTAGCCTATTTGCAAGTACACTGTTACTTCTTCACACTGTTCAAATTTTGTAAAGCCGCCATTTTACAAATTACACATTTAATGTTTACCTCATTCCAGTTTATTATTCAAGATATTTTGTTGTAGGTATTCCTTTATTTATTGCGATTGCAAGTCCAATATATTACTGGCCGGAAATCAGAAATTATTTCAATTATTTTTTTATAAAATATATATTTTTTTTTACGTAAAGATTTCAACAATATATTTTTCAATAAAATTGTTAAAATATAATAATATAAAATTAAATATTAATTAAGACCTATATTTTTGTATGGCATAGCTACTATGATTTTTTCTTTTTATTAATTTTCAATTATATTTTTGTTTTTTTGAAGGTTGCTGGCAACAAAATGCTAATACCGCAACACAATGTATTCAAGAAGATTGTCAAGGAAGTGTTCCAAAAAAAGATTTATACTATTGTTGCTGTAATACAGATAATTGTAATAGGAACGTAACTGAAGTTAGCCCTAAACAGGTAAGGTTATGTCAAAAACAGATAATTCATAAATAATTTTTAACACGATGGCAATACTTGATTGTCATTAATTCAAAAAGCCCATTTATATTCGAATTTTTTAAAAAAGATTCTTTACTCTCCAATTCTGTCATTCTATTTTTAAATATTTCATTCAAATTACAACTTTAGAACACCAAGCTCCAATGTATATAATAAGTTTCTATATGTAAGTGTAGTAAGACTTGCTGCTGGTAATATACTCCACAAGTTTTCAATCACCTACTATTATGTCTGACAAAGTCAGCCTTCTTTCTATAAAATCAGATAAAAAAAATTAATTTTAAAAATTCCTTTAAGAGCCTCTACCTCCTAAATTTTTTGTGATAGAGGGCTATGTAAGCACTACAAGGAACCCTCGCTAAATATATATTTCACACTATAAGTAACAATTGTATTGATTTTTCAAAAATTTTGAAGTTTTTATTATTTAACAACATGCTTTTCTTTTTTTACCTTTACAGTCTGGTGTTATATCAAATGGAACATCAAGTCCTGTTACATCAGATTATAGACCTTTATGGTTATCACCAATATTTCTAATATGCATTTCTTTATCATTTATTCTCATATCATTAGTTGCATTTTTTGTAACATGTCGTCAAGGTGTTGCACCTGGACCGGAAACTGCACCACTTTCACCTTCAGGACCTGGATATAGTTCCAATTTACATAATGTTGATAATTTAAAAGTGCAATCATTGATAGGTCAAGGAAGATATGGTACAGTATGGAAAGGATTAATTAATGAGGAAGAAGTTGCCGTTAAAATTTTTCCAGCTCAACATAAACAATATTTTATAAATGAAAGAAATATTTATTCGACAGCTCTAATGGATTCACCTTCATTGCTTCAATATTTTGGTAATAGCAATTAATTTAAATAAAAAATTTAACATTTTTTAATTTAATTTTTTGATTTTAGGATGTGATGAAAGACGAAATCTGGATGATAATCTTGAATATTTCTTAGTATTGTCATTAGCTCCATTGGGTTGTCTTCAAAGTTGGCTTATGGAAAATACACCAAATTATGTGACATTTGTAAAAATGGCAAAATCAATTTGCCGTGGCTTATCTCATTTACATACGGAACTTCAGCGTGGAGATGAATTGAAACCATGCATTTGTCACAGGGATTTAAATACTAGAAATATTCTTGTTAAATCGGACTTAAGTTGTTGTTTAGCTGATTTTGGTTTTGCTCTTAAAACATTCGGATCACGTTACGAATATAAAGGTGAAATGGCTTTAGCAGAAACAAAAAGTATTTCAGAAGTTGGTACCTTACGTTATATGGCACCTGAAATTTTAGAGGGAGCTGTAAATTTACGTGATTGTGAAACGGCATTAAAACAAATCGATGTATATTCATTAGGTTTAGTATTATGGGAATTAAGTGTTAGATGTCAAGATTTATATCCACAAGGTCAAACTGTTCCTTCATACAAAGCGCCATATGAAGCTGAAAGTGGAAAAAATCCAACATTTGAACAAATGCAAGTTTTAGTTTCAAGACATAAAGCGCGTCCATTATTCCCACCTGGTTGGGGTGGTGGTCAAGCTGGAAAAATTACCAAAGATACATGTGAAGATTGCTGGGATCATGATGCAGAAGCTCGTTTGACAGCATTATGCGCAGAAGAAAGAATACATGAATTATCAAATATTAGGCCTAGATCACATATTAGTAGAGGTCCTAGTCCACCTTTAAGTGCAAATAATTTAGTTATTAATAATAATTCTCCATCAAAGTTTCGCAGTATTTCGTCATCGAATTCATATAACTCATCTGACATTACAACAACAACGTCAACAACTAATACTTCAAATGGTATATTATATAATCAGCAGCAAAATTCTTTAGCAACCGCAAATTCTCATAATAATCATATGCTTCCGAGAGTAAAAAGTTATAGTAGCGATACAGGATCAACTGTGGTTAGCTTAAATTCACCAATTATACATGTCCATCATAATGGTTTTGCAAATGGTGTTGGTGGTGCAGCAGAAAAGAATCATATTATGGTGGCACAACAAATTCAACCATACCAAGGCCGTAATCCATGTCAAGAGAGAAATCTTGCCCCAGCCAATAGAAAGCAACATCAAGTTCTTGTTGAAAAAAGTAAAAAACATAGTTTTATAGAAAATGCAAATGAAAATAGTTTTTCATGCCTTGAAGATGATGTATCTGTTGAAGACTTAATATCAAATAATTCACATAAAATAATTGAAGAAACTTCAATTATGGGCGAAGGTTTCCCAAAACAGAACAATACTGATAAAAAACTAAAAGGCTGGTATGGAGTAAGAGCCTTAATACAAAAGAAACTATTTCGAAAGGATTCCGGTATATCATCCTCAGCATATAATGACGAAAAATCGAATTTAGTTGATAATCGATTAACTAGTAGAATTATAGCGTCACCAACCAAAGATATAACAGTAAATTTTATTGACGGAAGAAATCGTTACCATCATAATTACAATTTAAATAGTAGCAATAATATTATTCAAATGATTGTAGAACCAACAACAATGACAACAACCGCAATCTCATCGAATTCATCTTCAACTCGTCGCCCAAGTAATTTAGATTTAACACCAATAACAGTTCGTGTTAATGGTTTATCACCGGAAAATAATAAATCGAATTTAATACGAAATATTTCAGATGATATGAATTCAAAATTTAGAAAACAACATACTGTATCTCCAAATAATATTCTTAATTCAAATATTTATACAAATAATAATAACAATATCAATAGTAATAATATAAATCATCATAATTCAATAGGAACACCAATTACATCACAATTCATATCCACAAATGAATCATCAAAATCTTCATCGTCATCATTAAAAACAATGAAACCAGTTGCAATTAGTTTAACACAAACAGCAGAATCACCATGTACAATAGGAAATGTAATTGATTCAACTACAATACAACCACCTAGATTAGTTATTAGCAATTCAGCAAATGCTGTTAAAAATTTAAATAATTCAAATAGTACACCGGGATCAATTAGAGCTTCAACAATGATGATTAATGATGATACAAAATTGACTCGTCAAAGAAGTTTAGAAATTTTTAAAGAAGTATTTAGCGGTAAAGGTAGTACAGAACATTTAAGAGATCCTAGTCAACGAATTAAAACACCAGGTGATGTACCAAAATCTGTTCGAAAAATTCGTGCTTCAAAAACTTTAAGTTTATATGATGATCGTATGATGGATTCTTCAACAATGAATGGTCTATAGCATGAAGAGGTTCTGTTGTTGTTAGAGCTTTAAGAATTATATATATGAAATTTGTTTAATTTTATTATTTGAAAATAACATAAAGTTAGTCAGTTCTATGCTATCGAATTAATTTTTCTTTTTTATTTAAGAAAATTTATAATTAAATATGATTTTAAAATGAACAATATTAATTTAATATACATACCTTTAAGACCCCTCTCTTAAATACCTTTTTACAGAAATTTCAGTACTATTGCATTACCTTTATAACTTTTTTTTGTATTCATGTAAATTTTCAATCCAAAAACAACAAAAAAGGAATCAGAGGAATCAAATATTTCCCCATATAAATTTCTTGCTTCATATACGTAGGATGTTTAAAAAATACTAGCACCACAAATTTATGGGTAATATAAAAATATAATATACCTAAAATTATATACACGCGTTCATCCATATTTCAGTAATCAAAGTGAGAATGATTCCAAAATGATTTTTTAATTATGATTCCAAAACAAACAGAATTTATTCTGTTATACTGTAAAAATTTATAGTATAACAGAATTATAATACTATAGTGCATTTTAAAATTTTTTTTTGTATTGCCTTTAAATTCAAAAATATCTTAAAATTCCAAATGTAGTATTTCCAATTCCGAATTTTATTTAACTATACCTTTATATAAGTCTCTATATAATTAAATTCAATTATGCATAATTATAAATTTCACACATTAATTCAAACAAGAAAAATTAAAGTCAAATTTAATTTGTGATCTTTGAAGCACAATAATAAAAAAACTCTTCTTAAAAGTTAGATTTTTTTAAAAACAACAAGCAGCGTATTTCTGTCAAAAATAATATTGTACTACTAAAATAATATTGTACTATAAAATAATTTTTAGTATACAAATTTAATATGAATGATATGATTAATTTTTAATTCTATATTTATTTAAATGTTATGAAATTTGTAATTGAATATAATTGAATACTTGTGTAGATAATAAACTTTTGAAAAATACATAATTATGTATATTAGTTAATAATAGATATTAATAGTATATATTATTATTCTCGTGTATATATATATATATATATATATATAAAATTGTGTGATTGTTAGCTTAAGTTTGTAAGGAAAGTAAGACTTTATACTATATATACATACATTTTCTTGTATTTATGAACAATAATAATAATTATAATAATAATTGTAAAAAATTAATGATTTTAATTAAGTAAACGAAAATTAAATAAAAATTAAAAGTGATCAATATTTAAATTTTATATAGTTTAAAAAATATATTATACATTATGTATATTATATTAGATCGTTTGTAAATATTACCCTTTTTAATATAATATGTTAATACTGGGTTTTCGAGACTCAACAGTACTCCCGTAACAGGGTGCCGGTATAATGACTACAGCCGAACAAAAAACACGCTACTGAGATTTTGCTTTCTGGGTCATCCTTCTCAAGTTATGTGGCCTCAAATTTGGAATTTCTGAAAACAAAACAAAATTTTTTAAGATTTATTTTTACGCATGTAGGCATTTAGTAAAATGTTATTTTTCCTTTGCAAAATGAAAGACATTCTGTCTTATTTTCATTCCCCTACCTAATATTTCCAAAAAAATTTAAAGAATTTCATAAAGAAATTTTCATTAGTTTCAAATTGGGTTTACAAATATGTCATACATTCTGTGTTATCAATAAAGATGTAAAAATTAGAAGGTTTTTAAAGAAATTTCAAAATTGAAGTCTAATAATTCGAGAAAGAGGACCAAAAAAGCAAAATCTTACTAGCTATTTCTTATCCGTCTGGATTCATTCTATTACCTTACTGCGGAAATAGTATTGAGTCTCGAACAACCTGTAACAATTAAGATTTATTATAATCGAAAATTTTTTAGGTTTTATTAAAAAATAATTTTTATATTGTAGTAAACATTTTAATTATATATTAATAAAATTCTATATTTCATTCTTTTATAGATAAATTATAAAAAAAAAAACAAGTTATAATTTTAAATATTTTTAAATTATGTCTGTATAATTTTAATATAATTAGTGTACTACATAATGTTATACTGCATTTATTTATATTTATCATATAATTTTTTTTAAAGAAACGCATAATCTTTTGTATATAATTTGCACATATTGTAATATTTTATTGAACTGACAAACTTTTTGAAATAATTTTTGAAAATTTTCGTATTCAGTGTTCACAAATCCGATAGGCACTCTTAATTAAAATGGAGTTAGTATACTATATTGTGTTCATATTCACAATAATAAATTAATAAAAATTTCGTTCTTTTATTTAATAGAACTTTATTATTTTTTTTTTTTTACAATAATTTACGTATACTATATATACTAGGTAGCTTAAAGCAGAGCATATAAAAAATATAACAACAACAGACCAGAAAATTGAAAAGAAAAAAAAATGTAAATTTAAAATGAAAATTGTAAATTTTCATTAAAAAACCTTTAAAATTCCAATGTACATTTATATACATAATAAATATGAATATAATTGTTAATATAAGAAATATTTATATACATACATACATACATACATATATTATTATTGTATACTATTATATATTGAATATTACATTCAATATATTCATAAATGTACATATATATCCGTATATAATATATCGATATATTCATATTAAAAAACAAAAATAAATAAATTAAAAAAATTAAATAAATAAATGAAAAACAAACCAATTAGTTAATAAGGACATTAGCAAAAAATGAAAAAAAATAAAAATATTACCAAAAATCTTATGAAAAAATTTAGGCAGTATGTAGCTATATATAAACATAAATTTTGAAAATGAAGTAAATAAATAATTAAAAAAAAAATAAATAAAATAAATAAATTAATAAAAATAAAAGAATAACAAAAATAAAATAAAAGAAAATACTCTTTTAAATTCAATGCAATCACTTTATATATAAATACATATATATGTATATATACATATATATATAAATTGCTTTTTTGAAAATTTATTAGGGAAATTAATTTTAAATAAAAATAATTTGAACATACATACATGCATCATAAAATAATAGAAAAAAAAAATATGAAAAACAAACCAATTGTGTTAAAATTAAGACCTAAAATAATATTGTAAAACTTTAATAAAAACGATTTATTTCATAACAAAAATACAATTATGTTTAAATCTTTGAATGTAAATGGGAAAAATAGAACCAAAGTGATGAAACTTAGGACGGCAACTTAAGACGATATCCGTTATTAACCTAGAACATCAGCATTTTGCATTGTATACATATAATGCCACACACGCATGGAAACAGATAATGTCAAAAAAAAAACCTCAAAGGAATTAAGGATATTTCATTGCCGTCGATTAAATTAGTGGCGGAAATTTCGTTTCATTCTGGTCAGTTCCATTTCCCACTTATATATGTGTATTCTATAAGAATTTGGACATTTCGCTGTGGAAAATTGTACTTCTTCTGCTTTAAACTTAGCCCATTTATGCAAGAATTTTTTTTTTTACCTCATACTATCTAAAATTAGCTTATTATAATGAATGGCGAATTCGCCAAGTCTCTTTGCGACATAAGTACGTCAATTCGTCAATTGTATAATAAGTTTTACTTAAAAAAATTTATGAATAATTCAAAATACCAAATGCCAACGAATTCGCCAACTAAGGAGATTTCAAAAAAGTGGCGAATTGAATATATGTATATACATTTCTACGTAACACGTATAAAAGACTTTAAAGAATAATTTCCGTTTCAACTCCCGATCGTAGCTATCTCGATGATCGAGCTATTCAGCTGACTCTTACTAATGGTTAAATTAATAAATGAAAATCAAAAACAAATGAGATGTAATTAATCACAGAAATCTAAATTTTAATAGAGAACAAATTATATGAATTGAATTATGATTTGAATTAAAATAGCAAAACAATTTTTTTACCTAATTTTTAGTTTGATGTTTTAATTATTTTTTATCATTCAAAATTCATTGACATATTTTTCATGCATGTTATAATATTAATAATTTTACAGGTATATGCGAATAATAAATTATCGCAATTACCTGAATGATCAAGTCATAATCTTAAATGAAAACTTAATGCGTAAGTATAACATATCAAAAATATATACTTTTATATGTAAACATAAATCAAGGTGGGTCTCGAGAGGGTGTTGCAGGGCTTTATCCCGCACCTAGTTGGGGGGCACAATAGATCTATATCTTCTGGTCGCGTTGCACTGTTACCGCTTTTTTGCAATCTATAATTTGTAAACATAAATCAAACGATCCCAACTGAAAATTATGGGTTTATATTGCGTACGGAAATTTTTGGATTTTGAAAACTCACTTTTTTTTTAATTTCCTCTCGTTTTTTTTGTTTTCTTATGGTTAGCGTTATATAGCTATTATCTTAACTTCAATTAAATACCTTTTGCTTATCTACATATTCGAATTCATATTCACAAATATTTGGTGTAATTGTCAATGGCGTACAGATATTACAACAAGATACGACCATTATTCGAAAAATAATATGTTGCTTTTTAAAGCATGTATAAACAAAAATTCACGGTTTAAATGGTAAAAGTCAGTGATATGTATGTAGCTCCTTAGTTGAAAAAAAAATCAATAGAAAAAAATAAACATTCTATACTTTTGCGCAAATTTTTTTTTTACATGCAGTCCGAACTATATAAGTAAATTAATAACAGACAGTTGGCAATACGGTTCATACTTCATTTATTTTTGTTTGACAACTTCTTTTAATAAATATTTATGACAGTTGTCAGATATATCAACTTAGTAAATTCGCTGATTGAATTGAAAAATGTAATGAAAAATATAAAAATTGAGTTAAAAGGAAAAAATAAAAAATTTTTCAGAATAATTCGATATTTTATGGGAAGATTACACAATAATTAAACTCGCAAATGAGGTAATTATACTTTTATTTTTGTTGTTATTCAACCATATTTTTATTGGTTTTTAAAATATGAGTCATATACAATAGTTATCTCAAACTCAACTTAAATACCATAATACAATGGTTTCTTTGTTTTTATAGCGAACAGTTTGAAGAAAGTCCTGTTTCGGACAATATGGACATTTCAACAACCACAACAATAGAATCTCAAGAATCTGAGGAAGGTACTAACAGTAACTACCAACAAACAACACCTACTAATTCGAGTATTATATCGCTAAAAAATTCCTGTAGTAATAATTCTTCAAATATGAATAACACCGAAAATCTAACATTTTTAACTGAAGGAAATAAAAACAAGATAAATGGAATGCAAACATTAGATAATGACCCTAATACAAGAAATTTAAAAGCAAACCATCAAAAACTATCACAATCGTCACAACGTAGTGAAGCTGTGAATCATCCATTAATGCCTTTATCTCCAACAGGAACTGATTCAGATTCTGAACATGGACATTATCGTCGTTCATTTAATTACCCTGATGTTGTACCGCAAACAGAGCAACCTCTTCGGTTATCTCTACCAAAATTATCCTCAAAAAATTGTAGCAACAACAAGCACAATAACTTTAATTCAATAAATACAGGCGGAAATATAAATGAAAAAGTTATTAATGCTAATATTGATGCAACATCTAAAATTCAAAATAATATTAACCGAAATACAACACCAATGGAGGCTAGAAAAGTGCTTAAGTCCCAAAATCAGCTTAAAATCAATATACTACGTGCACCAAGTCCGGATTTATTGAGTAGCGGTGAATCGGAACAAGAAATTTCACAATATCAAGCTTCCGTTGAATCGAATTTTCAAGCAGTTGCTTTAATTGCAAATAATATTCCCGTGAGCAGAAGTGTAAGTGGAACCGTAAGGGAACTCTATTCACCTAACCAAAGATCTAATTTGGCAATACCTCATAGAAAAAAAGTTCCAGCATCGTCCGAAGTACTTTCAGATGATATTTCTTCCTTAGATTCAATTTCTAATCACAGCTTTGATGATGGCATTGAACCAAATTTAGCTTCATTAAGTCCAACGAGCTCTTTGATGGACGATGATTTTGGTGGTGATATTCATGAAGATTTTGATGACGATTTTGGTGATTTAGAAACACCCACAAATCAGCAGCCAGTTGAACCTATACCACAATATTCAGCTGAAGAAGAAAGACGTGACTCTCGGTTGTGGCAAAAAATTACTTTACCAGATGGAAAAGTTCGTGAAATTGATATGAAAGTAATTGAACCATACAAAAGAGTATTATCACATGGTGGATATTTAAAGGCTGGCGGACATAATGCTATTGTAATGTTTTGTGCTTGCCATTTACCAGATAAATCTCGAGCAGATTATCATTATGTAATGGATAACTTATTTTTATATGTTATAAAGACTTTAGAACAATTGGTAACTGAAGATTACGTATTAGTTTATTTACATGGTGGTTCTAGTCGTAGAAATGTTCCTCCATTTCCTTGGCTAAAAAAGTAATTTATTTTTAAAGATTTACAAAATATCCACTGTTATTATATTGTATTAATTTCAGATGTTATCAGCTTTTAGATAGGAGATTGAGAAAGAGCTTAAAAAATTTATATTTAGTTCATCCGACGTTTTGGTTGAAATCAGTAGTTTGGATGACACGACCCTTTGTTAGGTTGGTTTGAAAATTTTTATATTCTATTTATTTGCTTGTTTTTTGTTATAATTTTTTATAATTTGAGAATATTGTCTTTCATTTTTAGTTCTAAATTCTGGAGGAAATTGATTTATGTTCGAACCCTTGAAGAACTATATTCAATGGTATCTGTTGAGAAAACTGCTATTCCAGATAAAGTAAAAACCTATGATGCAAAATATAAATAACTTTTAGAATGAAAAAATTCGTATACTTGTAAGAATATTTTCATCGACATTTTCATAAATTTTTAATGCAATTGTTATTAAATCAAAAAAGCATAACTTAAATTTTGAAGATCTCAATAAATTTTTTTGGTATTATTTACATATTCACTATTTCTATATTTAAGTTTTATATCTATAAGTTTATCTTAAGAACTGAAATGGATTAATTTTATATCATTTTTAAGTAGAAGCTATACTTTTTATTTTTAAATTCTTAAAAAATTATTTTGTGCTTTTAATACATACGTAGTTTCAAAAGTATTTATAATTCATTAACGAAAAATGTGCTTCATTTTAAATATACACATATGTATGTTTTTAAAATTTTATTTTACTTTTTATTAGAATAATTTTGTATGCCTTAATTTGATTTTATAATGTAATATAAAATGAATAGGTTTCAAATTAATCCACTTTGTGTTTTTTTAAAATGATCTTATAATTATTAATATTAAGAATATTTATGAGAATCATTTTTTTTATCTAGTATAATATATAATTAAAATTATGTAAGTAGTGACAATACAAAATATATATATAATTTTTACGATATGGTGACGTGACTATATTCTTTTTTTTACAAAAGAAATTGTATTAATAAATGTATATTGTAGTAGATGTGAGATAAAAGTACATAATGTATTTTGTAAAACAAAGCAATGAAGATATTATATTATATAAATAGAAAAATATTAAATTAAATTAAATACAAACTTGCAATTATGCATTGTAAAATAAAAAATAAAGCTTAAAAATTTATACAAAATGCTTAATAATTTACAAATGCTATAAATTTTTAGTTATTTAACAAAAATTAGTCAATGCATTTAATAAATGATTTAAGATTTTATAAATGCAAGCTTTTACGATGTTATCTTATTCAAAAATAATAATAAAAAAGTTTTCAGTTATTTTAATCTGAAATCCAAAACACTTGTTAACCTATTTTTCAATTAAAATTTTCCACAAAAATATTCACACATAGTAAGTTAGTTGTGTCATTTGAGGTGACGAGATATTATTGAAAATATTTTGGTTTCTAAAATTAAAAATTAAAATATTATTAAATTAAAAGATTTTTAAATAACAAATCATTACGTCAACTGATGCTACTAATAATATATGGGTTATTGATTATGTATAATGTATATTATATAAAAAATACAATAATAAAAGAATACAATATCTATGTTTATAAATTCTGTATAAATTTATTATACATATTATAAATATCAAGCTAAAATAAAAATCTACATATTTAATATTATTGCAAAAGAAAAAAAACGGAGAAGCGCATATGCATATGATTAATTGCAAAGGCTTTTTTTAATTTAATTAAACTTTAAATTTAAATTCATTTAAAGTAGTAAAACTACATATTTTACAAATTCCATAAATTTTATATCATATTAAAAATATAATATTATAAAAAATTAATTTTCAATTAATCCCGTAACCTATATTTATGCATTTCTTTTTTTCTCTAATTAAAAACAACTTTAAAAAAAGTATTAAAGCATTAAGAATAATAAAGTATTATTAAAATTTTGCAATAAAATACAATTTATTAAAATATATAATTAAAAAATAAAAAATAATGTAATAACATATTATATCTTCCAAAATGTTAAAAACATGAAATTAATTTCAATTAAATTGAAATTAAGAAGATGTCAAAAAGTTTCTTTAATTTTAAACATAATAGAAATTATAAATGAAAAAAAAAAGAAATAAAAATAATTTATTTAAATTTACTTGAATATTAAATAAAAAGTGCTACCGATTAATATTCGGAAAATCACTTACGTGTTCAAATGAATATAACAAAAAAAAAAAATTAATTATATTGATGAGATAGAATTGATATTTGATTGTAAAACAATATGTTTCAAAAATTTGTCTATATTTATTTAATTTTCTTTTTCTCTACTATTCATTAAAAAAAATTTATTTGTATGTTTTATCAGAAAAATTTATAAAAATATTAAAAATAAAACTATTGTTATACAACCATACTATTTATTTACTTTTAAGTATAACATTTTTTTTTTTTTTTTCAAAAATAAAATTCATAATTCATCTAAAATTATTTTATAATATTATCATAATTTTGATTTTAATATTTAAGATAATGATAATCAAATAAAAATTTTCATTTCACAAATTAAATATTTCATACAACATAATACATATATATATATATATATATATATATATATATATATATATATAATGCAAATCTTAGTTAGGAATTTGAACATACATCGAATATATAGTACTCTATGTATATTCTATATAATCTAATATTATAATATAATTAAAAAATTAAAATAAAAAGAAAACTAGATGTATGAAAAAAAAAATCTATCTAGAAGCTTGAAGATAAAAAAAATTTTTTAAATAAATTTTTAGAAAGCACAGGCATTAATTAAATACACATAAAATAGAATGAAGCTTTTTAAACGAAATCAAAACATAAACATATTATACAAAAATCATAAAAACCATAAATAATTATTATTTTAAAAAACAATAAACATAGAAAAATAACAAGAAAACCAAAGCAATTCTTTGTAAAATTCATATACAATATAAATATTGCATAGAGTAGCGTTCTTATATAAAAGAATTTTAGATTTTAATTAAATATAAAAAAAATAAAATAAATATATTACTTAAAAGAATATAATAAAACAAAATAAAAACAAAAAGAATGAATAGAAAAAAAAAATTCAATTTATGATATTAGATGAATAATGTAGACCAATTGTAAAAGAGCAAAAAAAAATAAATAACAAATAAATAAAAAGACAGTAAATTGACAATGGAAATTTATTTTTCGAGACTATACAAAAAACACGTAAAATTGAAAATATGAAATATTAAAAAACAAAAAAGAAAGATAATCTTTATTAAAAAAATACACAATTTTAAGAGAACATGTTTTTTTTTTTGTAGAATTTGTAAAGGAATCGTTAACCCATCGCAGAAACAAAAAAAAAAAAAATAAAAATAATGAAATACAAATAAAATAAAATTTTGATTAAAAAATTTATAATATTATTAATTAATTATATAATAATTATATAATATATAAAAATACAATAAGATATCCAAAAATTCTATACCACAGTATTGAAAAACAAAAAAAACCAAACAAGTTAATTTTGTTTTTCTTCACAATAAAAATTAATTATTAATAAATAGCCATGTTATTTTGTTCTCGAACTCGAAATATTTTAGTTTAATTGAAATTTAATTTTAACATTTTTATTAAAAAAAAAAATAATACAACAATTAGTTTTTTATGTTTAAATTTTAATTTTGCGATCCTCAATCCTGAATATTGAATTAGAATCAAAAATTGAGAAATATTATTGTTAAAAAATTGTTTCAAATTTTACGAATGTATGCATTTTAATTAAAAAAAAACAAAAACAAAATTATATTTCGCTTGCTATTTTATAAAAATAAAAAAAAAACTTGCTCTTGTTCAATGTTAACGTTTAAAAATTTTAATTCCCGAATAAATAGAAAATTTTTTATTAAAATTGAAGTTTATTATAATTATAATATACTCGTACTATGTATTTCAAAATTTTTGATTCTAACTCATTTAATTTATTTATTTACTTTTTTTTTTTTTGTAAAATTAAATATTAAAGATGGCGAATATTTTCAAAACTCTTTATAAAAACTCTCTTAATAAATTGCAGATTAATTTAATTTATATTAAATTAAAATAAAAGAGAATATATATATATTATAAAAAAAAATAAATAAAAAAAAAATTAAAAATATTTAAAAAAAAAAATTTCAATTTCATTTATCCTATACGCAGAAAAACTTAAATAATTTATTCAACCGCTTTATAATATTTTAAACGTTTCCTAAAAAAATATTTTTGAAAAAAAAAAAACTAACAAAATTTCATAAAATGTATAATTAAATTGCGTTTTTTAAAATGTATAAAAAATATTATTTATAATAAATATTAAAGAAAAAAAATAAGTATGAAAAATGTAAAAAAAAAAAAACAAAAACCTAAAAGACAAATGAGAAAAATTGCAAAACTGAAAAAAATAAAGGAAAAAAAAATGATATTATCGAAAACTGTGTTGACTTTGTGTAAAAAAAAAATATATTATTATTATTGTAATAAACTATAATAAGTAAAAATGAAATTGTAGGCTTTAAAGAATGTAAATAAAAATAAAAATCTATATTTATGAAAAACTATGCATAAAAATATATAAAAATATTATTAAAATAAAAAAATTTCATACTTATTCGTTTTAAAATTCATTATTTTTGAAAAACTATGAACTTCCATACAATATTCTGAAAATATTAATATTATTAAAAATATTCTAAAACATTCATTTAATTACCATATTTTATTGTCTACGTTAATATTTCTATTAATAGAAGAAAATGACAAAAGACAAAATATTTAGAAAACAAATTTATGTATTTTGTTTTCTGGTATGCTATTAAAATAATCAACACATGCCTCCGATTATGAATATGTATCCGGAAATTGTGCAAAATATTTACAAGTTCATCAATCAATTGTGAATATTTGCTAGTGAAAATTATTCAAAACTCTTTTCTACTGCTCAAAATTTTTCGTAAAAAGTTTTCATATAACATTTTGATATTGTTTTGCTTCTTCTACTATCAAAATTAAATCACAAAATTGTGGTGGACTCGTAAAATAATGGAAAAAACTTTAAAATTTATATTATAAAAAATTTATTTCTCACAATGGAAATTATAACCTGACCTGTTTGTAAATAATATTTTTTACATTTTCCTCTTGTATACGAGCAAAATGGAATAATATCCATAGAATAATAACTTTATTAATGCTTTCAACCATATTAGAAATAAAAATAGTCTTCAAAATACATATGTACATATAGGAGCAATAAGCAAAAGATCTAATATTATTCGATATTGATTTTTTTGAGCAAAATCTATTAGGAAACCTTTATACCTTCAAATTTAAAATAAATTAAATATTTTAAACAAAAAACATGAATTTTGCTATAAACTGGTTAAAATTGTATTCGTTTCTGGAACACTTGATTTTCTTAAATTTTCGAACACCTCCAAAAAATTGAATCTTCCTTCGACAATATAAAAAATCCTTAAAGCAAACAAATTGATCATATTAAGGGGTTTCAAATGCAATTTTTTATTATGAATCTTACCAAAATATTAGAGAAATCTAAAAAATTTGAAAAAAAAAATGAATTAAAACAATTTTTATCTTATCAAAACATCAACATAATCAATATTTTATTTGTATTAAAGATCTTAGAAATTGTAAATGAAATACTTTATTCCTTCATTATGATGAAAAACGTAAATACAAACACCTATTTATAGTAAAATTTGCATTACAAAATTTTTAAATGAGAAGTGAATGATTGCGATCGATAAGTTTTGAATTTAACAATAAACATTTCTAATAGTGTGCAGCAACTTAAAAAAAAGAATGTATGCATTGTATTTTATTTTTTATTTTATTTTTTTTTTTTTGTTTGTTTGTGATTGATGTTTAAACTTTGGTATAATTTTTTTTTTTCTTTTTATATGTATAATGATTTGGATTTTATATCTGCTGTAATCAAACATATAAGCTATGTATTTGGAAACGTTTTGTATAAAAATTATTGTTGCAATAAATATTCTTTAGTTGAATCTAAGTCTCTATTCAACCAGGCAGCATTCAGTCGTATTGTTTCAATAGATTGTGAAACAGTTCTTTCTGTGCTTGGAAATTCATTTGTTTTAAAATACTCTTCAACTTCCAGGGCACGCTCTTCTGAAGCAAAATTTTCTGTTAAATATTTGATTAGCCGTGCTAACAAGAACCCTCCTTGATATTGTTGTAGAAGTTTCTCAGAATTTTGTTTAAAGAATTCCCAAGTCATATCACGTCCTTTTGCATTCATTGCAACCGCGACTATTACAAATACTGAATCTTGAGCACGTACTTCATCAGACATTGCAAAATCTATAACTTTTTTTAAAATTTCAATATTTCTAATGGAACCCAAAGCTCGCGAAATGCGATCTTTTTCCTCATGCAAATCTGTTGATCTGTAAAGTTTTAGCATTTCTTCATATGTTTTTTCATCACCGTCTTGGAGATTCGCTTTGTAGCATGCAGATCTCAAATCAGCTGGTAAAACTTTAACATTTTCTACATGTTCTTTAAATCTAAATTTTAATGATTTCTTTTTAAGTGAAAACGAAAATTTCTTTAAATTTTTTACCTTCTCTTGGCTTCTTCGCAAATCTTAGGACATCTAAATGAAACTAACCGGTTAATTACCAAGCTACGAAGTAATGTATCCAAATGCGATTCATTTTCTTTGGCATCCCAACCAAGGCGATCAGCTATAGGTTTATAAAGATTTACACCATATCTATTGAAATTTTCAACCAAGTCAGTGTGCGACAGAAGAACTTGCAATTTACATAATGAATTTGTAATAGATGACCAAACTGTATAATTTGTTTCATTCCGGTAGGCATCAATTAGTTTCAGTGCCTATAAAATAGGTTAATTTAAAATCAAAAAAAATACAAATAATATTTAAATTTACATCAGCGGTTTTAGCTTGACCAGCTTGAACCATTGCAAACAAATCATCAATTAAACCCAATCGATCCAATGCAGGCAGTTGCATGCTTTTAACAGCTGGAATAAGTTGTAAGAGCATTTCAGAAGTATAACTTGTTCTGAAATATCCAACAGTACCAGGATTAATTTTAATCCAATCATTCTCACTTATATCATCAAGTGTAATAATTTTGGATCTCTCATCTAATATGAAATTTTTGGCAATTTCTCCGGGCGCTTTTGCTGTTGAAATTGCGATCGGAATCATCCAAAATTCATCAGTACTTTTGGAGCCATCAGCCATAAATTTGGACTGAGATAAAGTTAAAACACGTTGATTGCCTTTTTGTTCAGATTTAACTGAAACAACTGGAAAGCCCATTTGTTTTACCCAAGTAGACATAACGGCAGCCACTGGTTTACTACTTGCTTCCTGTAATGCGTTCCATAAATCTTCAGTACACGTATTTTGATATTGATGTCTTGTTAAATAAATATTCATTCCTTTTCGGAAATCTTCATCACCAATATAATGATGAAGCATACGAATAACACTAGCTCCCTTATTATAACTAATTTCATCAAATATTTCATCAACTTCAGACGGATGATTTACTGGCACTTCTATAGGATGTGAATTTTTAAGACAATCTGATTCCAAAGCTCTGGTATACATATCAGTTACAAATTGAGTCCATATATCATACTCGGGAAATAGATGATTTACACATAAAAACTCAACAAACGATGCATAACCTTCATTCAACCAAAGGTGAGTCCACCATTCCATTGTAACTAAATTTCCGAACCATTGATGTGCTATTTCATGGCCAACCTTATAAAAGTTTTTTATTAAATGCATATGTTTACATACATGTTATTTAAGGAATTGATAAAAAAAAATTAAATAAAAAACTTACAGTTAAAGCAATAGATTGTTTTCTAATAGATGATGTATTTGCTGAATCAACTAGCAAATAAGTTTCTCTATAGGTTACTAGTCCCCAGTTTTCCATAGCACCAGCTGAAAAATCAGCTATTGCTATTAAATCCATTTTTGGTAAAGGATAAGCAACATTAAAATAATCTTTATAATATGGCAAAACTTTTGTTGCAACTTCTAATGCAAATAATCCCTGTTCTTTTTTTCCGACTGGTGTAAATACACGTACCAAAATACCATCACTTGATTTCCCTTCAACAAAATCATATTCACCAACAACTACGGCCACTAAATAAGTTGACATAATTGGTGTTCTATCAAATTCAACTTTTCTTAAACCATTTTCTAATGCTTCTTCTTTCTTTACTGGCATATTTGATAATGCAACACGGTCTTGTGATACAACTAAAGTTATATCAAAAGTAGCTTTACAAGCCGGTTCATCCCAACATGGAAAACAACGTCGTGCATCAGTAGCTTCAAATTGTGTAACACCAGCATAACGTTCTTCACCACTGGGCGTAAAATATTTGCTGCGATAAAATCCTTTCATTTTATCATTTAATTCACCATTAAAGACAAAATTCAATTCTCCTTTTCCAACTGGAAGTTCTTTTTCAAACGTAACAGTGGCAGTTTCATTTTCAGTTGAAAACTCAATATTTTTTGTTTCAACGATTAAATCAGACAAAGCAATGGTTGCTTTAGAAATTTCAATATCCAAAGCATTTAAAGTAATTTGGTTTGTACGTTCTAATATCTGAAAAATTAAAAAAATAAGAAATTATATTAGCGAATATTAAATGTAGACTTTGGAAATTAATATTTCATTCGTGAAATTATAGATCTTTGTTCAAATCAAATATCTATTTAAAATTTTATATTTTACATTTTTTAATTCAATCTATTAACATTAATAAATATTTAACTTGCAATTTTGTATGAGTTACCAAACAATGAATTAAATGGATTTTTTCGTCACAAGCTGTGCTATAAGAATTTCTTATTATTCCGCTCTTTTTTATTTTGAAAAGTAGGTAGGTACTTACATAGAAAAATTTAAGAAAATCAATATCAAAACAGACAAAAAATTTTATCTCAGTTCGTTAATCTAAATTGAATGAAAACAACCGAAACGGGTTTTGAGAACCACGCTTAAAGGAAAAGAAGAAAAATTTATATTTATTTATAAACATAACGGCAATTTAACCAGGTGAAAGTAAAACTTGTGTACACATTATGAATTTTAAGCACACCATTTGATTTTTATTCTGTTTTTAGCCTTATAAAGGTATGCGTGCAAATTTTTTTTAAAATTATACTTTCAACACACATGAAATGAAGATAATCATGATAAGATATTTGTGACACGGATATTTGTATTCAAACATTTACATCAATATAAGTAAATTATATTTCTTTTATATTATAATAATTTTATTTTATTTTTTTCTTTCAACAATGCTGTATTGTACTATTGTACTATATTAAAAATAATTTTTTTATCATGCTAATATAAAGCTATATTGTATATTTATAACCTACTTTGTACAATAGATTTATATAAATTATGTATGTAGGTAGGTAGGTAATTGAATGACTTTCAGGTTTTTATTTAAAAGAACAGTTAAGTTATTAATTTTTTTATTAAATTTTAATGTGCATTTTCAAATTGCAAAAAAAAAAAATAAAGCTATACAAAAATATTATTTAAATAGTTATGTAAAAAAAAAAAATTATAAACGATGTAGATTAAATACGTGGCGAATATTATTTTGAATTTTGTTGAAAACTTTTTTACCATTAATTTTACAACAAAGATTTTTAAAAATTCTTTTAGTTTTGTATAACAAAAAAAAAAAAATCCAAACTTACATCTATAGAAATTGAGGTTCGTCCTTTAAATTTAAATGCTTCAAGATCTGGTGTTAATTCCAAATTATAATGTTTTGGTAGAACATTCTTTGGCAATCTTTTAAATTCTTTTGTTTTAGACATTTTACTAAAATTTCTAACTATTTTTATTATATTTAAATTGAAAACCTTAAAGATAGCCAATTTTCTTTATTTTAGAATTAACTTTCCTCAAAGTAAAATAAATCAACTTCACCAAAAAGCACTATACCACTCCACTGCCACTTTTTACATATGCTCATACAAACAAACACTTCAATCGTAGCCGGCCAATTACTACAAATGACATTTAAAATTACAATAAAATCTTAGTAACAAAAATCGATTATAATATAATGTCAAAATTAGTAATGACAGTTTTTTGGTATCAAAATTACCAGTAAACAAAATTTTGACAACTCATTTTATACTCAAAACACAATATTTTGAATAAAGCGAAATGTTAAGCGATAAAACGAATTCTTTAAAAATATTATTTTAATATGTATGCGAATTTTAGGAAAACGCGTCGAAGTTAAGAATCAAATTAATATCACTTGTATTATAATCATATTGTATATTTTATGAGAAAATTAATATTAAATATTTAAATTTCTTTTTTGTTACATAAAAGCCCTAATTTAATTTTGCTCTTTTAATTGTACAATTTATAATGGTATTTTGCCTTTATATGGTATTTTCAAATTTAATAATATATTAAATTTGATAATAAATTAATGAAAATAAATTATTTTCAAAATTAAAAATATAAATTGAAAAATTTTAAATTAAATGATTATAGTAAATATATTTATATTAAATAATATGTATAGCATACGAAATGGGAAAACAAAAGAAATTCAAAAATGAACAGTTTATGTAATGCCCTAATTCATACGATATTTGAATACCTTTTTAACTAAAACTCTAAATTTTTTTAATGAAACTGTAAAAAAGTAATCTACAACACACAAAATAAGAAATAAAAATAAAAAAATATTTATAAAATCGCAAAAGTACTTCTGTAAGATTTAATTTTCCATTATATAATTAAATTTTTTTAAAAATCTGTCATAAAAGAAAACTTCTCACAATCAAATAGAAGAATACCTTTACCTAAAAATTAGCTGTTGAATACAATTACATACATTGAAAATTCGCATTTGTACCTTTGTATAAAAGTAGCAATTTTTGCTATGATATCCGTGTTTGTCCGCACTCTATTAACACACACCTTCAACATTTTAAAAAGCATGCACTTATCATTAAGCGAAAAGTCATAATATATTTTTATTTATTAAGAATATGAATTAAATAAATGAAAAAATCATAATTATTAAATAATTATCAACATTAATTAAGGAAAATTAATTAAATTTTAATTGAAAATTGAAAAATTTGAAAAAGAAAAACTAAATTATACATAGTGCATTAGCCCATACGTGAAATAAACTAACCATTTGAAACAAACTTCTATTTTTAGTGTTAAAAAGATTTTATTTCATCTATAAATATTCATTAAAATTATGCTCCTTTTAGAAGTAAACATGTGAAAATAAAAAACAATAGAAAAAGAAAATGAATAATTTTTACAAACAATCAGTTCCATAAAAATAAATTCATACCATATGAACCGTATCAAGATAATTGAAAATAATTAAAATTTTTGGTTAATTTTAAGGCACAGAAACAATATCAAAAAAGGTAAGTAATTTACGATTGCAAATTAATTGATCTCCTAAAGAAAGAGTACAGTGAAATTGTTTTCCCTAAAATATCTTTTATTTTCTATATTTGTACACACACTATATTTACAAATTTATATGTATAATATAAATTCATAAAATAATTTAAGCACAAAATCTTAAAATATGCAGCCATACTTAAAAATTTTTTTTAGCTGCTACTATTATTTTTTGTTTACAAATTGGCTAGCCGTCTAGTCGTAAGAGTATTTTTTTTTTTATCTGATATTTTTGCATCCGAATTAAAATATACCGGTGATGATAATTAAACGATATTCGTATATGAACTAAATCGTCTTTTACAATAATATCCAAGTAAAAAAACACAAAAAATAATAGATGATTAATAAGCGAAACGTCATCATTCACACATTGGCGGCTTTTTTATTTTTATATTTTTTTGTTAAATATAATCACAACTAAATTCACACTTGAAAATGCAACATGTATTTTTATTTAAATTTTGAGATTTTAAGTTATAAACTTAAGTATTAAAGCTATTCAAATGCAAAATATACGAATAAGTAATTCTTTATATTTTGTTTAGGCACTTAATTTTTAAAATTAAGTGCCTAAACAAAATTAAGTGGTTTGAATAGTTACAAGGTGCTTATACTTATAATATTAGCTGTTGTAAATTTTATAAAAATTGAAACAAAAATCTATTAATTAATCAATTATCTAATTACAATTATCTAAGTATATTTAGCTTAATTAAATTAATCAATTCAAAATAATTTCAAAATATAGCAGATTTCAAGTTGCATGAGATTAAATTGAGAAGACATGAAATAACAAGTTTGCCTTGTTGCTTGTGCAGTTAGAATAAAAAAAAGACAAAGATTTAGTAATAAGTTATTATACCTCTCTGCTTCTATAGAAACTAAAGACTTAGAATTATCTTTATCCAATAGAGTTAGAATTGAAAAATCATCCAATAGAGTATTGGGAAGAGACCACAGGAATTTTTAACATCAATGTAAGTATGCTTCTTAAATAATTTAATTTTTCACATTATAGAAAAGATTTCATTTATTTTTGTCATTTATGTTGAAGTACTTATTTGAAAAATTACTGCATTCGGGGTACTTTATAAGTTTAAAAATGACTAAGTTAGTTTTTAAGGTTCCGGACTTTTGTTAGCTGAACCTAACTTGAAATTTGATTATGTTTAAGAAGCGCTTCAGTGAAATATTCCATCAAATTCAGTCTTGGTAATTAAGGTTGGTGTTGCGTGGCTCCATATTCGAAATACATTATTACAAAATATGCGATTAAAAAATCAAATAGATTTTTTTTTCAAAATTAGTTTCGAAAACAGTAATAGAAATTAAGTTTCATTAAGTTAAAATGTTTCTGTTGACTTACTGTAAAGTGAATATAATTAAATCGCATGTTGTAAATATGTTCCTTGTATACTCAATGCTGATTGTCGCATAATAAAAATTTGTATTATATATAATATTACATGGACATTAAGAGCTTAACCATCAGCATTTTCACATTCACAATTGCAAGAACAAGTGGCTATTTTAATCTTACTCAAATTAACTGTAATTTTAAATAACTTATATTAACATACCTTAAGTGAGAAATTTTGAAATTATTTTATACTTATTATTCTTAGACTGTGAAAGCCAATAAAATTGGGGGAAATATAAAAGCTAACAAGGGTTTTAGAAGAGTAATTATATTGCCAAGTGTATTATTTTGTAGCTTTGTCATTTAATTCTTAAACTTATGTTAAATTTTATATTTGGATCGCTGCAGCACTACTTTAATACTTGCCTACGGCATACTGTAAAATAAATGAATTCTTGTTTTCTGAAGCTATTTAGTTTAAAATTAATAATTTTCTAACTCGTTAAGATTATTCAGTTTGTTTTTGTATCAAAAGGAATCAGGCAATGTTTGCTTAAACATAAAAGAATAATTATCCTTATTAATTATAATTATTACGCTAATCAAAAGGTTTTTTTCCCCTTTTCTAGAAATATTGGTTTAGAATAGCTAGAAATATCCAGACTATTAAATTATGTCAATATTATGAAAATTTTTCTTCTTACTTATTTATATTCTATTTATTAAGATTAAACTATTAAAGTAAATATTAGAAGTATGTCAGAAATTTAATAAACATTTTCAAATTTTACTAACTACTATTTAAGTACAATACTTATATATGTATATATATATATATATAATTATCAAAATGTAGATTTAAATTTAATCTTATTTAATAATTAAGTAATTTGTAAAAAATTAAGTTTACTGTTTGTTATTTTTCTCTTCTTTTTTTTTTTTTGTGATTTACATTAGATTTATTGACATAAACTTACATTTCCTAGGAAAAACCTAAGTATGATTTATTTTAGGGAAATGAAACTTGAACTCATCTTTGTTATCATAATGCAATTAGATGAATACATACAATATAAATTATGATCACAAACTATTAAATTTATTAAATGTTATTTTATTTAATAAACTTTATCTAAAATAAAATAAAGAATATTAAAAGAAAAAATTTTTAATACTATAAATACAATGCAATTTATTTAAAATAATTTTAGTTGTTTGAGATTTTTACAAAAAGATCATTTTTTTTTTCTAATTCCTTTGAGATATAATTTAATAATATTATTCGGTTAAAATTGAAAATATTTAAGAAATTAATTTATAAGTTTAAAAAACAACAGAATTTTTTAAATTTAATATACTTATATTAAAAAAAAAATATTAAAATTAAAGTGTTTAATTAATTTTATGTGAAAATATACAAAATAAAGTAAGGAAATTTAAATTAAATAATTTAATTTATTAAATTAAATATAATATGAGAATTCAAAATATTAAGTAAAAAATTTGATTTAATTATGTTTTTCAAATATAAAGTGTAATCTTTTAATTGAATTTTTTAACAACCCTGTTTGATCTAATAAAACTAGAAAATATAAATGAAATATGAAAATAAAAAAAAAAGAAAGAATTTTTTCTCTATTTGGTCAAAAGCACGTAATGTGAATTGTTTGCTTTAAAAAAAATATAAAAAAATATAAATAAATAAATAATAATTTAATAAAAAACTTGTATATTTCTGAAGTCAAAATATAAATTATAGTCATAAAAAATAAATTTCTTATATCTTTGTAGAACGTGTACTTTGTTAGAGATTTTTTCTTTGTAGCAGAAATTCTAATGTTTTTTTTTGTTGTGGGTTAACTTGTTTGGAAAATATGCTTATTTTGTATTTAGAGTTCAAGTTCTAATTCCTAGTTTAATTATAATTAATACACTTTTAAGTATTAAGTATTCAATTTTTATTATGATTTTATTATAATTTTTGAAAAAATTTATTTAAAATTACCTAAATTATTATATTTAAAGAATATAGCAATTAAATATAATAATTATAAAAATTACTTATTAATAATTTCAAATTTCATTATTGTTAATAAAATTTTTTTCACCCGCATCGCTTTCGAAAATTTTAAATGAAATTGCAATTATTATCAAAAATTCAAATTACTTAATTTTTAATTAATTATCGAATATTTTATTAAAATAAAAAATAATTTGTTTATAATTTGTTAAATAATTTTTTAACATTTGCAAGTTAAATTTTTCTATGTGATTATTATTTTTACCGTAATTTTATTTAATTTTCTTTAATTTAAAATCTATATTATTTATTTACGATAAAGATTTTAATGACTTCTATAACTACTTATATAAAAAATTTTATAATCTTCATCAATTAAATTAAGGTTGCTCTAATGCCAATTGTAATTTTGCTGGAAATCTTTCAAGATATTTGCAATGGGAAAATTTTGTATTTTTTAAGTTAATTTTTCACATTTTTGGCCATTTTTAATTGATAATAGAAATTAAGTGCAAATACCTTAATTATTTCATGTTAAATGTTCTATTATTAAGGCAAAATTTAAAAAATTTGCTTAAAAGGTTTCTTTTTGTTTAAAATTATTACATTTTTACTTACTGCAAAAAAAAAAAAAAACGAATTGGCGGAATCAGGTTTTTAATTAATTTTTTTTTCAGAATTATTCAAAGCTAAGCGTTACTTATTTACTCTTTGTTTGATGCACGTTATAAATGTTAAAATGTGACTTAAAACAGTATGTTAAAAGCTCCTGGTTGATAATCAAATTCAAAACTTCTAAAAACAAATGCATTTAAGTAAAAAGAAGTATAAGTATACCATGCGTTTTGGAAGCAATTCAGAACATAATTCTTGTTCAAAATTAATAGACAAAAAAATTCATACTAAAAAATTATGAATTTGAAGGTTCTAATTTTATCAATTTTTCTATATTTTTCTACATTTTTCTATAATGCATAGTTCTTGTATCCAATTGAAAAATTACAAAATCATTTTATTTATTTCTAAATCAACTTCATTTAGAAATGTAATGCATAAATGTGAAAATTTTCAGCTAAACTTAAAATTATTTCTTATCTTTTAAAGTTTCTAACACAAAAAAATTATGCAAAATGTGCAAAAAAAAAAAATTTGAATTTACTTAATTGGAATTTTTTTTATTTATTTAAAATTTATTAAACTTATGTGTGTACATAATAATGTATACAAGCATGCACTTATAATCAGTCCGTGCTGAGGTAGGGTGTATATTTTAATATATGTACATACATAATTTTAATACGATTTTTTGTTATACATTTATATGTGTGTTGTAAATGTGTAATTACAGTATAACCGTTGTTCGGTACACGTTATTTGTGTTTTAGACATGCATTTTTATATTTTATTTTTTTGTATTTTTTTTTTATTTATTTAAAATAAATTTCTCATATTATAAATATTTATTTTGCAATTTTGTCGGATCATATTTTTAATTTTTTTTTTTTTATTTTTTGTTGATATTATTATAAAGAGAATAACTTGTATTTCAACTGAAATACATGCATAATATAAAAATATCAAATTTTGATTAGATTTGCTATTTTGTATAATGTTATATATACATTGTAACTTTAAAAAAAAAATATTATACATTATTTAAAATTGTTTAAATTTTATAACCGCATCAAGATAAATTCCTCTTTCTAAATTAATTTTAAACTAAGTATGCAACTTCTGTTTAAATTGAAACAAAATGAAAACTGCTACAAAATTTAGATAAATTTATAGCAGATAAGTTATAGATAATAGTTTTGTTTATACATAAACACAATAATGCATGTATGTATGTATGCATATGCCTATAAATTTGCATGCATATGCATAAATTTTCTTTTTAGATATTATAT